GAAAGCTGGACAGTGAATAAGGAAGACCGTAGAAGAATTGATGCCTTTGAGTTTTGGTGTTGGAGAAGAATACTAAAAGTGCCATGGCTGCCAAAAGAACCAGTAGAAGAAATGTTTTGGAAGTGAAGCCAGAGTACTCCTTAGAGGCCAAGATGACCAAACTTCGTCTCTCATACTTTGAACATATTGTCAGGAGGGACCAGTCACTGGAGACGGATATCATGTTTGGTAAGATGGAGGGTCAGAGAAAAAGAGGAAGACCCCCAATGAGATGGATTGGCCAAGTGGTAGTATCAATGGACTCAAGTGTGGCAACAGTAGTGAGGTTGGCCCAGGATCGGACATTGTTTTGTTCTGCTGTGCATAAGGTCTCTATGAGTCGGTGCCAACTCGATGGCACCTAACAACAACAACAACAAGATGGGTATCAGTAATTGTTCTATCCATTTAGGTGAAGGCAGAGATTTTTAATCTTTCAAATAAGATAATAATACATCAAGCCTTCAGCAGCTGACCAGAATTGGCAGATACAGCATTGTAGGATCACAAGGTTGATTTTAACCACAAGGTTGGTAGTTCAAACTCACCAGCCACTCCTTGGAAACCCTACACAGGATCGCAAAGAGCAAGAACCAAATCAACTGCATGTAACAACCACATGTACTACTCTTTTCCTAGGAAATTAAAGATTTCCTGAGGAAATGTATCTCTCTTCCTAAAATGGTGATGTAAGATAAGTACTGGACTGTTAACCTCAAGGTCAGTCATTCAAACTCACCACCAAATCTTTAAAAACTCTATACAGGTAAAAAAAAAAAATTCATAGAACCTTAACAGACACTTCGCCAAGGAAGAGATCCGGGCAACCAACCAACATATGAAGAAATGTTCACGATCACTAGCCATTAGAGGGTTGTAAATCAAAACAACATGAGATATCACCTCACACCAGCAACAACAGCAAAAGTCAAAAAAGTAGAGGACAATAAATGCTGGCAAGGATGCAGAGAGACTGGGATGTTCCTGCATTGTTGGTGGGATTGTAAAATGGTCCAACCTCTCTGGAAAGCAATATGGTGTTTCCTCAGAAGGTTGAAAATAGAAATACCTTATGATCCAGCAATTCCTCTACTTGATATTTACCCACAATAAATACAAGCCATAATATGATTAGATATATGCACACTAATGTTCATAGCAGCACTATTTACAATAGCAAAAAGATGGAGACAGCTTAAGTGTCCATCAACGGAAGAATAGATAAACAAACTATGGTATATACACACAATGGAATATTATGCTACCCTGAAGAACAACAAGGAAGCTGTAAGTTATCACATAACATGGATGAACCTTGAAACATTATGTTGAGTGAAATTAGTCAGTCACAAAAGAAGAAATACTGTATAGGACCACTACTGTAAAAGACTAAGAACCAGAACCCATACTAAAAGGAAGAAGGGGGATTCTTTGTAGGTTACTCAGGTGTATGGGGTGGAGTGAGGGGAGGGAGGGGAAGGTGAAGCACAGGGTAGGGAATAGACACAGGATAGTTTGGGTGCTAGGGAGGGTGGCAATACACAAGAAGGTGGAGGGGAATGGAAGAACAAAGCAGATGACAAAACAATTAGTCAAGTTTGCATGGGCTAAGTGAGAGAGAGCTAAATAATGATGTATGTACAACCTTGGAACAACAGGGCACTGGGATACAGGGATTGAGACAGCGTTTGAAGGGTAAAAGAGGGGAATAATGTTAAGATGCTTGGCTGTCTTTTGAATCTTGGTTTCCCTGGCTTACCATTATAAAATAGACACTTGAAGGGGAGAAAAAAGAATAGCTAGAAATATCACCATAGTAAGCTTGTAAGTCCATCTTCTGCCTATAACTGATTGGAATATCTAAAATGGGGATACAGCATAACCAGTGAAGGAGGCTTCCTGCAGAGCTCTGCATTACATAAGACCATAGGTGGAATCCTGCACCTCAGCCAGAATCTTCTGAGGTGGGAAATTTCCACTTGAAAGGAAGATACTTCTTGAAAGAAAGATGGACAAGAAAAAATACAAAACAATAACGGCAGTCCGACTGATAATTACAAGAACAAGCAAGTTGCTCACACAGGAGATATCAAGGCAAGTGGTTGGATCCCCTCAGGGCAAACCCCCTTCCAAGACTAAGACTCAATGGGAATACACAAGTAGACATGTGCTCTGATTGGTGACCATGTTCATCACCGATAAGGGGAAGTTAGGGAAAAACAGCAATGAAGCTGTGAGCTACGCCCTCCAACAGTCAATAGACTCCTGTGAACCTGGGTGGAGACCTGGCTGGCCAGCAGTGTGGCAAGACCTGGGGACTCTTAGGCCCAGAGTCAGTGACATAGCCACAGAGGACAAGAGTGGAAAGTGAAGCATCCAGCTGATAAGAAGAGAGGGCATATGCATAAGAACACCCACATTTGCAGATAACACCCACTTGACTTGGTTTCGATGATTGGATGATCAGAGCTCAACTAGAAGAAGAAAGAAGCGGGGGGGAAGAGTAATATGATACAATTTGATGAATTTGACCTATACCTATGGTTGCAGTAGCTCAAAAGAGGGAACAAATCTTTACAGCAAGGATCATTTCCACCCATTCCATACAGAGTAGATGGGGATGGCAACTTGGATATTGGCTATCCAAAACGGGGGTTGGAGGAGGATACAAAAGCAAGAAGTGACTGGCTTACAAGCTTTCAAGAGGGAGCCTAGACCCAGAGGGTGTGGAGGAAGGTAGAATCTCCACTAAGTAGTATCCAGTCTGTCTGGGCAGGGCTAATGAAAGGGGATGTGGATAGGTCTCCTGTGATACAATAGTGAATAATTGTTATCAGAACTGATTGTGAGGGTTGGAAATGTAAAGGTAGATGTTTTATAGCAAGGAGGGGAGTGATTAACTTTGCAGTTCAGGAGCCGATGTCCCTGGGACCATCAAGAGATAAGAGCAGAGTGTGAGACCCTACCCAGAGAAGCAGTGACGCCAGAGATGGAGACAGAGATAACGTGGAGAGATGGAGTGGCTGGGAGACTCTAGACCCAGAGAGGGAGAGGGCTGTGTGCTGATGACCAGGGGGCAGGCTTGCAGGGTATACCCTTTGGTTGGTTGATGATGCATGGAAGGGATTGTAACCATGACAATGAAATGATATAAGATAGGATGAATGTAAAGCTAATGTTCTCCCATGTAAACTATCACATAATTCACAAACAAACAAAAAAACTATACAGAGCTGCCATGAGTTGGACATGATTCCATGGCACTTAACAACACTAAAATGTACTTTTAGAGGCCCCTCACGAACCCTAGAGGGGTGCTCTGCTTACACAGCCACACATTCTTTCCTCAAGACAGCCCTACTCTTGTCAAGGTGGGAAATGCCTCACTTACCCCTAGGAATTCCAGCTCCATCTTCAAAAATGTCAGCCATGTGTGTGGTAGTGAGGATGGGGCAGCCTTGCCCACTAGACATTCATCCTGGGGAGCTACTTCAGAGAGTTGAATTTCAGATACACTGAGAAATTGAACAGAAATTCAGTCATTAAAACCTTGCTAGCTCTCTTAGTGGTTACGAATCGGGCTGCTAACCGGAAGGTCAGCAGTTCGAAACTACCAGCTGCTCCGCGGGAGAAAGATGAGGCGATCTGCTCCCGTAAAGATTTACAGCCTCGGAAACCCTATTCAGGGCAGCTATGGGTCGAAACCGACTCGACGGCACTTAACAACAACAACAACAACAACAGCTCTCTGTGCAAAGCCCTACACTGACAGTAGAGGGAGTTTTAGTCATTTGGTTGAGTTGTTTATTTTACAAAACAAGCCATTAGCATTGAGTCCATTCCAACTCCTGCTGACCCCATGCGCTATAGAGTAGAGCTGAGCTCCATGGTCTTTTCTTAAGAGTCCTGCTGTGACTCTGTAGGATAAACATTGGACCAAAAGATTGGTTTGAATCTCAAGGTTGGTGATTCAAACACACCAGCTGCTTCTTTGAAACCCTATGCAGGGCCACTATGAGTCAGAACCAACTTGACTGCATGGCACTGAACAACAATCTTTACAAAATCAAATGACCAGGTCTCCCTTTTACGGTGCCACTGGATGGGTCTAAACCACCAATCATTTGGTTAGTACACAAGAGAATACTGGTTGTGCCACCCAGGGGCCTAGTAACTAGCCAACATCAGCATATAATCAGTGACTGAAATGAGACAAACACCACACTGAGTTTTCTGACACTCAATCCAAAATCTTACCACATTATTTTCCATTAACCTACGCTGGTGATTAAAAGTCTTGTTTAAAAAAAAAAAAGAAAAGAAAAAGTAAAGAAAGTCAAACATATTTTTCTATGCGTCTCACAGATATTTTGGCATAGAAATATTTCTGAATATATTTTTCCAAGGACACACCCAATTTCATAAGTAAAGGGGACAGTCCATGAGTGGCTCTGAAGGATTAATGGGATTTCTCTTTCTTTTTTCATCCATAGACTAGGCTAATTGAGAATAGTGTTCCTTCCATAGCTTTAGGACATGCTTAGTTTTTATGCAATGATATTCAGTCTCACTTTGATGTCTAAAGCTCCACCTTCAGCCTTTTCTGTTGGCCTCAACTAGTGATGAACCCATGAGTTACAGATTATAACTCCTCCTTAGAGTTTTCTCAGCTCTAGCTGTAGCACTGTAGGGTAAGCACTGGACTGCTAGCCTCAAGGCCAACAGTTGAAACCCACCAGCCACCCCTTGGAAACTCTATACAGTATCATTAAGAGTAGGAACCAACTCAATAGCACTTAACAACAACAAGAATCTTAATGGAAGCAGTATGCCGTATCTCTCCTTCCATGGGTTTGAACCTCCAGCCTTTAGGTTAGCGCCAATCTGTAACCACTTGTACCACCTAAGTGCCGCAGTCTCTTCTCAAATCTTTAAAAGGAGAGTTAATGTATGCTCTTCACCTTTGATACTGAAAGGCAGCCAAATTATGTGCCTCTGCCACTCTTCATTGAGAGAATATGTCACCTCTAAACAGTGAGGCAGGATTCCACAATTAGAGGTTCACAAAGACCAACCAGGGAAGAACCCAGAACATCTTGTAAAGCTTTTATATTTTAGGTACATCAGACATAAAGACAACGATTTATATAGGCACTATAGTATCTCCTGCTTTATACCCAGGAGGAGCCCTGCTGGCACAATGGTTAAGCACTGTGCTGCTAACCAAAAGATTGGCAGTTCAAACCCACAAGCCATTCCATGAGATAAAAGACTTGACCATCTGCTCTGGTAAAAATTACAACCTAAGAAGCTATATGGGGCTGTTCTATTCTTTCATATAAGGTCATGATGAGTTGGAATAGATTCAATGGCACACACCAACAACTGTTAAAAAAAAAAAAAGCCGGTATTCCCAATTTCCAATAAGTAAAATCTTACCATTCCATCAGTCAAAAAGAACTACTGCCTTGCAAAGAACATATAGTAAAAGGCTTCCTTATAGTCAATATACAAACTAAGTAGATGGATCTGGACCCTAAGTGACTATGAATAGAAAAAATAATGGCTTGTACCTACCTAGACTGCCCTTGTGGGTTTGGGAGAGCGAGGTCTGCTCTGCTTACATTACCCGTCCTCATTTTTCTTCATTAACTGGACTATTTGTCCATAAACATTACTTTTATAGAAGGACTTGGTGAACTTCTTCTCACAGTGTGTTCCAGATGGGCGGCAGTTAAGCTGGGTTGACTCATGGTGTTGATGACTATCTTCATACCCTAGACATTTGTCAAACAGATAAGTTTCCAAGCTGATTAAGATCAAAAGGGTTCTTTTTGTTACAGTGAATAAGCAAAATTGAATCAGTTACTGAATAAGAAGTAGTATGAAATAAGGAATGTTGAGACCTCTGGAAAATAATTCTGCTTGACACTGGTGGAATTTGCAGAGCTCAAAAATGGGGTATTAATGGAAACTGATAAACTGAAACTTGTGTTCCAGTTCAGTCATTTCTTTGCAAGAAGTTCTCTGACTGCACCTTTGAAAGCCCATCTTCTCTGTTTAGGCATACTCTGCTTACTAAGTAGATCCAAGGCTGTTTATTTGTACCTCTGAATCTCTGGCCCTATCTCTGACTTCAAAGACTCATTTTGCTCTCTCTTCTCTCATCCTATCTGCTGGACACTATTTATGTGTTTCTCTGTGCCATAGTCTCTGAAACTGGATCAGAAAGGATTTTAATAGCTATACCCTATTCCTGCACTATGGGCTAATGCGCCAGACTGCAAAGTCATTTGAACTGCAAGGTCAGTAGTTCAAGCTCACCAGAAGCTCCTTGGAAACCCTACACAGGAATCGACTCAATGGCACTTAACAACAACAACATTCCTGATACGAGTATGGAAACTAAAAGTTTCACACTCAAGACTGCTGTCTGCTAGCAAATTAGATTGACTGTGTGCTGCTTCTGAGTTGTGAAGGAAGGAGTCAAAATCCTCTTATACTGGCAAAGATGGTACAATGGAAGTATGGCAGGGCAGGGACTCAGTGGCATAGCCTCTGAGTAAATCGAAACAACTTTTCTGTGAGTTGTTATTGTTAAGTGCCATCGAGTCGGTTCTGACTCATAACAACCCTGTATTAGGTTTCCAAGGAGCAAATGGTGAGTCTGAACCACCAACCTTGTGGTTCAAACCAACCTTGCAATCAAGTGCTTATCCTACAGTGCCACAGCAAGACTTCTTACTTTTTCTAACAGCATAACAATCACAAAACTGTGTACACAGAAGCCTTTTTATTTTCAGTCTAAGTATAGACATAATCTTAAATGACTTTATTTTTTTCTTAAATGTTTTATTGTGAATTATGTGATAGTTTACATGGGAGA